GGAGGGCGCTACAAGGGGGGTTTGGCGTGGTTCGGGACCGCCAGCAAGGAGGCGGGGACCGGCGGAGACCGGCGGGCTCAGTGCGAACAAAGCTTTCGTCGCGTCGCGCTGCCGGGGCGCCCCGAAGGAGTGCGAGAGAGACAGAGGCGCCGTTCGGAATGAGCCAGGCTGGCGCGGCGGCGCTCCAACTCGGCCACAACTTAGATTGGCCACTGTCCCCAGCGCGGCGGCACGGCGGCACGGCACGGCGGGCTGCACTGCGTGGGACCGCCTCTCCTCTCCTCGCGACACACCAGATGGCCCCTCACCTATTATCCTCTCCCCTGCGCCGCGCCGCGCGGCGTCTTCGAGGGCCTCGCCTCGCCTTGCCTCGCCGGCAAACAAGCCGCGATCGGGCGCCAGATAGCGCGCGTACGTATCGCCGGGACAAACCGGGATCGCCGTAATGCGGGCGCTAAAAGTGCCGTGCCGGGCGGAGCACCGCGCCGCAGAGGACGGCGCCATCGGGGCGGCGCCGGGCAGCGCCGGGCAGCGCGCTAACCGTTTGATGTACGATAAACAGCGCTTAATTAATACGCGATGCGCGAGGCTCCGCTCCGGGCCACTCAAAGAGCCCCCTCATGTTGACTCTGCACGCTCGCATCACCTCGCGTTCGCCGCGTTCGCGGCGTGCGCGTGGAGGGCGAGGGAGGCCGCCGCCGACGACGACGACGCGCTCTGGTGGCCGCGACGAGGGCCGCTGTCTTGCGCGGGGCGGTGCGCGGGGCGGGGCAGAGCCAGGCGGAGCATTGTCTGGGAGTCACGCGTGTGATTCGACCCCCTCATTAGCCCCGCTGCCTCGGGCTGCCTCCGCCTCAGACCCGGGCCAGCCATCGGCGCGCTCGTTTGGCCGGCCTCCAAGCCTCCAAGGGGCAAAGGCCCCCGGGCTCTTCAAAGCCACGCACGCCGCCAGGCCACCAGGCACCGCTAGGCCGACGACGAACTCACTTAGAATTCCTGCTCGACCGTATCTTTTAATCCCTTGCCGCGCATTCCTGCTGTTGCTCCGCGACGACGCCGACGACGCCGACGACGGCTTCCCCGAGGCCGGCTGGCTGCCCTGGCTGGGCGGCCCGAACTTGGAGGTGGGCCGCAGAGGCGCCCGGAATATAGGCCGTCCGGGATTTCCTCGGGGTGCGCCAGGCGGGCAGGCCGGGCTGGCAGGCTCGGCGGTGCGGGGGAAAAGGGGGGGGGGGCTCGGCGGTGCGCATTGCGCTATCTACTCTGCATGCTGCAAGCAAGGCGGCAAGGCGGCAGGCCTGCTCTCAGCAGCAGCACCCGGCTCGGCTCGGCCCGGCCAGCTCGGCTCGGTGCAGCACCAGGCCGTTTGGGCCCCCAGCCAACGGCAGCCCGCGCGTGACCCGGGAGGGGCTCGGGGAGGGGCGTTGGGGGGCCGGGGGATCCGGGCATCTCTGCATCCGGGGGCTCTACTCCCGATGCGCTCCGGTCGACATCCCGCCATTGGCACTGCATCCCCGACGTCCCCGACGTCCCCGACATCATGGCGATGGCAACCGGAAGCTTTGGTTTCGAGGACAACACCAGCAGCGCAGAGCGGGGGCCCTGGTGGGGGCCATGGTGGGGGCCATGGTGGGGGCCCTGGTGGGGGCTATGGTGACAGACGCCGTGGTGGCGAAGGTGAAGGCCGTGGCGGAGGCCGTGCTGCAAGTCTTTGACCGCCAGACGGCCTCCACGGCGGCGTGCCCAATGGGCTTGCCCGGCCCTCGGCACGGTCTGCGCTGAATAATCTGTTTGGGGACGTTTTCAAACGAACGGCGCCGAAACGCGCCGCCAGAGTGTCCCCGGCGGTGCGCACGGCGTCGCGCTGTTTGCCCTCCGGGCCGCCGTGGGCCGCCGAGCAAAGGGCTCCGTGGGGCCACCTAGGGTGCTATACCGTGCCGTGCCGCCGATGAGGGGCCACAGGGCCACCAATGAAGGGCCGCCAACGACAGGGCCGCGAGGAAATGATTGTTTAGGGCGTGCTGGGATCCCTGCGTCGCCGCGTCGCCGCGTCGCTCACCGAGGGCGTCGTCAAGGACACGACCCGACGCCGCCTCTGCAGAATTTGCAATTTTTCCGCGCGCGCTCGCCGGCTTGCTCTGCCCGGCTTGCTTCGCCCGGCTTTGCCCCGGTCTGGTCCGCTCGCAGTGGAGAAGGTCGAGAGTTGCGTCGTCCCCATTCCCACTCTGATGGCAGAGGAGAGGAGCAAAAAAAAAGAAGAAAAAAAGACTGAACTGAACTCTGGCGCGCTGCTCCCCCGTGGTGGTGCTCGCCACCCGCGCCACACTCGGCGCGAAACTACACACTGGAAGTTTGACACTAAAACCCAATGAGAAGTAAGGCCGAGAAAAAGGGATTCCGCGGATGGGTTCGGAGTGGGGCGCAAAAGGGGGAGGGGGGATGCGCTGACTTGGCATTACGCGAAGCTGAGCTGTGCCACTGACACGATGCCGAATGAGGGATGCATCGTAAAGAGGGATGGAGGCCCCCCCCCCCACCACCCCCACCACCACCACCACACCACCACCACGCAGCCACCCACCGGGGCCCGCCCGCCTGCCGCTGTGACCCACAGTACCCGCCCACCCTTACGAAAACACAGAGTATGTGCACATTCATGAGCCGCGATGTGCATGGCCTTACGTATGTGTGTGTGTGGGGGGGGGGCTTCTCTGTGTGTGTTGCGCGTACAAACGTGTGTATGTGAGGACGCTGCGTGCCCTTGTCGCTGAACGTGCGGCGACGGCCTTTTCGCACAATGCCTCTATCCGTGTGCATGTGTGTGTGTGTGGGTGTGTGTGTGTGTGTGTGTGTGTGTGTGTGCGTGCGTGTTGAATGCGTGCGCGGGGAGGGGGGGGAATCAAAATTGGCACCGCGCCGTCATCCGGAGCGACTGCAACGCGGAAGCGGAAGTGCCGGCCAAAAAGCCGCAGCGCCACAGAGCTCTGTGCGAGCCGCACAACAAACACCTGGCTCGCGCGTGCGGGCGGGGAAGGGAAGGAGAGACGGAAAAAACATGAATTACGGGATTCGGAAAGTGACAAAAAACCACCCAGTGGCGGCGAATGCTGCTGCGTCATTCATTTTAACAAACCAGAGCCGCGCGTGCGTGCGTGTGCGTGCGTCTGTGTGAGTGCGGAGGGGTGCGAGAACTATAAGATGGTCCGCGAAATGAGTTGCACAGCCATTTCAGGCGTATATCATGCTCGCTCATATCTTCTCCCTCTCTCTCTCTCTCTCTCTCTCTCTCTCTCTCTCTCTCTCTCTCTCTCTCTCTCTCTCTCTCTCTCTCTCTCTCTCTCTCTCTGTGTCTCTGTGTCTCTCGTCTCCCCCACAGGCCGCTCCGACGAGGTCATGAAGGAGGTCGAGGCACATGCACGCTGCAGGAGCATGACGGAGGGCATGGCGGCACGGCAGGGCCCAGGCAGTATGCACCTGTGGCCCTTCCCCAAACGAAGGGCTTGGCGTTGAGGGCCCTGCGCTGCGGGCCCCAGGCTCCACGCAGCGGCCAGGGGGCAGGCGAGATGCCACCCCGAGGACGCAGAGAGGGGGGAGAGAGATAGAGAGAGAGGCGTGGTGATATAACTTGGAGGAAAAGTTGCACGCAGAATGTTGTCAGTTATTTGAGGGCAAGCGGGGTGGGGCCGCTAAGGTTGGCGGGCATGGCTCCACCATTTAGGCCGGAAAGGGAATGAGAGGCAAAAAAATGAAAGGAAGGAAAGGCCAGAAAAAAAGAGAAAGGAGAGGACCAGAAGAGGTCCTCCACCGGGTGAAGTGGGACAGGGACAGGCGCGGAGGGCGTGCTTGGTGCAGCGTCTCTGTCGCTCCACTCATCGCGAAAGCAGCAAAGCGAAGAACCAGACAAAAAGTACTCCGTTTTTAAATGTTATCGCGGGGGGGGGGTCTAAATCCGAGTGGACGAGAGAGTACGGCAATTCAAATCTAAAGTATGAACACCGGCATTACATCAAACGCAATACTTTTGTACGCACATTGTGGGGGTGAATGAAACGTTAAAATAATTGACACTACTCCAAACCCCATTCTTTTCGGGGTGAAAAAAAAATGTTTCTTTCGTCTGTGACTTTGTGACCTCGCGGCCGCCACCCCGTGCCCCCGGCGTGCCCTCGGCGTGCCCCGACACGAGGCCACGCCACCTCCGCGCACGCATTCAATAATAGCGCTGCGTGGCAAAGCGATTTGCCCCCTCCACTGTAAAGTGGTCACGACACGGCGGGGTTCATGAGCGGTCCCAAAGCACGGCGCGGCGCAGCGGAAGGAAGATTTCGCCAAGAAAAAATAGCCGCGTATTCCATATGGAGCAGGGAGGGGGTGGGGAGTGGAGGGGGGTTAGCGTAATCTTGAGAGCGATCGGTTGACAAATGTTTCGGCGGGATTTTGGACGCTCCGCCGCTCGCCGCCACGCCCCGCAGCAGTAGTGGCGCAACTTCCTTGGCAGCGCCACCCAACGCCGCCGGGCTGGAGGCTCGGGCGAGGCTGGGGCGCCTGGAGCGGCGCTTGGGGGGGGGGGGGGGGGGGGGCTGCGGAGGGGCGGTGATCAACTGTGTCTCCAGCCACCTCGCGCCAAACACGGCCGGGCCAGCTAGCCCGGCACAGCCCGGCCACTGACCTACATTACCGTCTGCTAATTGGCCTACTTGCCGGCCTGCATCGCTGGCAGAGAGAGAGAGAGAGGGACGCCCTTGGTCATGGGCTGTATTTTTTCTTTCCCGAGAAGAGATCTGTATCTTCGAAGCCCATTCATAACTCGATTAGAGTCATTACGGCGTGGTTTTGTTCATTTTTGAGTGGGCACGGCGGTGAATCAAACTGACAGTCTATGGTAGTAAGTGGGCAAACTTTGCGACGAACGCAATCCGAAAAACAAAGCAAAATAAAACAGCTTGCGGCGTTCTTCGCTCCAAGGGGCAGTTACAGCGGTTTGCTGGACTCAGACTCACCTGTGATTATCTGCAGCGAGACGACGGCGTAGAGGACGCCGGCCGGCGAGAAGAGCCGCGGCGACATGGCGTCGTCGGGGAGTCACTCCAGGCGGCAATCCAGCTGACGGACACCCCCACTTCCGCTACCGGCCCCCATCGTCACACGCGGCACTGCATCCGAGAGTGTCGGCAGCGCCACCGCGCGAGGCGCACACCGCGAACACGCACACACACGCACACACGCGGAGTCACTCGGAGTTATCCAGTCACGGGCGGGGCTCCAGACGCCGAGTTGTAGCTGCTGGAGAAGATGGCTCGAAGAGTCAACGGCTGCTCGCCTGTGGAAAAGGAAGACAGGGCTGTAGACCACGGCCAGTCGCTCCAAGTTGGGCGAATAATTCAAGGCCAGCAGTCTGCCTTTAATCTAGTGGTCGCGTGGTGGTCGTGTGGTCGTGGTGGTGGTGGTGGTAGTGCATGGCTCGGGGGTTGCCAGTCTCACTACGACCAGGACAGCAGAGAACGATGTGATTTCCGCTAGCCGTCCGTCCGTCACCCCGCCCGGCCCTGTGCCCGGCCCGACGTGCAGGGGCCGAAACCGCGCTCAAGGTCAAGCGGGCCCTGGACGAGGAGGGTAGCAGCAAGCGCCCGACACGCCACGGCAGCCAACAAGATGAATCTTTCCTGGCTTCAGTTTGGAAATGTGGCTGCTGCCCAGGCTCAAAGGGTACGCACAGTATGACCACATGCATTTCAGTGAAGCAAGTTAGTTGTGGAAAGAAATCATTGTTTTTGTACACGTTTAAAAACGAAATTAGCATAGGTCAGGCTGTAAATTAAAGCAAGTCTCAGTGTTGCCTATCTGCCCTTGGCGAAATGGTCCTTCGTCACTCAAGGCACTGAAACCTGCGACAACACTGCGGCAGGTCCGTGCGGCAGGTCCGTTAGTCAGGGCAGAAATTTTATTTCCGCAAAGCCCTTTTTTTCCCTCTGCTTTTTTTTTCGTTTTCGTCCTCTGGTTGGCGGCGCCGCGGCGGGAGGTAGGGGGCGGAGACCACTTCCCGGGCGGTGACGCGACATCCGCCTCTTCCCGCACACGGCCGGCGTCGCGGCGCGTCGCGGCCGCCTCCTCGCGGTCGCCACATCAAAAAGAATCACGCCGCGCGCAAGGCGGTGACAAATGGCTGGTGGTGCTTATTGGAGGCGCGACCTCCCCCTCCCCTTCCCTTTCCGGTCGAGCGGCGAGGAAGTCGCATTTTAATGGCGAAGGCCGTCTGTGCGTCGGCGGCGGCAGCGGCTGCAGGGCGGAGGGAGGCTCTCCGTCGGCCTCGGTTACTAAAGGCGAGTCCATTTTTCGCCTGTCGCTGCCCGATTGACCACGCCACAGTACTGGGCACAGCGAGGTCCCTGGTCATGCGGGTCCAGCAGGGCCTGTCGCCACGGCCCCCAATCGCCACTCCGCCAGGGCCGCTCTGCACAGCACTCCGTCCTCCTCGCACTCGTGGGGCGTTGGGGGCGAGGGCGACGACAGTCTGCAGGTGCGGCCGGCGGCGTGGGGCACTGGCGTGGGGGGCACGGGGTCCCCGCGGGCCGCAGCACGCGAGTCCGTGCCGATCCGCCGGCCGTGCCCCGACCTCGCGGACCGCAGTCCCATCGCGCGCAGTCCCCAGGACATTGCAACAAGGACTAATTTCGAGTCAGCCTGCCGCCAAAACCTGCACCGTCCTTGAGGCCACGACGGAACAACGCCCCGGGGTGGCCTCGTCTCGTCTTCCTCGCTGCCGTGCCCCACGCGCGATATGAGTTGGAGCTGTCTGCACCACCTCGACTGACCCGCGCTATTTTTTATTTCTACCTCGAGGACAATATTGCCGTCACGTCTCCCGCCTGCCCTTCTTTGCGTCGTCTGTCGGTGGAAACAACGCGAAATCTGTCAGAGTTACGCTGCCATATCGGCAGCGAAGGGCGGGGAAAGGTGACTTCAGGAAAATAGCCGTCTTCTCAACGGTGAGGGTTACCATTGTGACGACAAAAAAAAAGGAGATAAAATTTTGAAATGAAGTCGTCGTGTCCCGTTTGCCAAAATTATGTTTGAAACGCGAACTAAAGTCGGACTTTCCCTCAAGCTTGCACTCCCAGCCCAGCAAAGCAGGGCTTCCAGGAGATTCTATCAATCTCCTGCTAAGATCATGGCGTCTGGCAGCGAAAGTAAACCGCGACGAACCAGGCCAGTCCATTCCGCGTCAGCCTCGCGGTTCTAAAATATCGGCATTAATTATCAGCAGTCTGTCTGTCTGTCTGCCGAGCCACGCAGCGCTCCAACAGGCGGCACGCTTCCAGCGATAAGGCGGTTTGAAGGCTGGAGGCCCAGCACAGCGGAGCGTGGAGAGACTCATCCCAGATTCCACACAATCGCTCATTATAATATTTCAGCAAAGTTTAATTGATTATGTGCCCCTGTTGTCCTCAGCGCAAAAGCAACCCCCTCCCACTGCTCTATCGTGGGGGGCGCGAAAACAACGGCTCAGCCGCTCCCTTCCCTCCCTGAGAAGTACGGCCCGCGAGCGCCGCGAGCACGGCGAGCATCGAGGAGAAGGAGATAAAGTAGTCGGTGGAAGGACTGGGAGGAAGGTGCCCTTGATGACTCTCGAGGCGGGCCGGGCGGGCACAGCGAGCACGCACCGGCACTCGAGGAGAGACGATATCAACTTCACATCCAGCCAACAGCTGTCATCTCGACATTTCTACACGTGTCACGCGTGCGTCGCACGCACGGGGAGGCACGCACGCGGAGGGAAGAAAGTCGGCCTCCCCGCCTCATTACCCATCTCTCTCCCTCCGCGAGACGCGCCCCGACTGCCGTCTCTCTCCCTCCCATCCGCCGGGGCGGGCAGAGCGGGCAGGGCGGGCTCGAATTTCACGCGCGTCTGTTTTCGACATGTCGTGTTATGGTCCACCCCTAACCCCGTTCCCCGCCGGCGTCCTGCAGGACTGGCTGCTGGCCGGGCAGGGCGGGGAGGGGAGGGGAGGGGTAGTCCGTGTCAGTGTCACTGGGTGTTGAGGTAGGCAATCCAAAGGCGAAGCGGCGAAGGCACTGGTCTTGAGGCACTAGTGTAGGTATCCACCACCACCACCACTACAACACCACAACCAACAACACTGCACACACACACACGCGCGCGCACTCAACACGCCGGCGGGCGGCACGGCGGCACTGGACGCACACACGCGCACGACACGCACGGGACACGCACGGGACACCCACCGGAGAGGCGCGGCAAGGCAGGCAGGCAGCCAGGCAGGCTGACAGGGCTGGCAGCTTGCAGAGGTTAGAGATCGCGGTTCGGCGGCGCTCTGGCGGCGCTTGGCGGCTCGCGGCGCGGCACAGGTCACGTGGTCTGCGTCGCGGCGCTGCTCGCACACTACTGGGGGCTGGGCCGCCGCCAGGGCCAGGGGCGGGCCGGGGGAGGGGTTGGGGGAGGGCCTGGAGGATGCGCGCGCAGAGCCTCGCGCCGCCGCCACCACCCGACAGGCGGCAGCACGGGGCGGGCTCGGCTCGGCTCGGCTCGGCTCTCGGCTCGCCGCTTCGGCTCTCGCGATGGCAGCCAAGCCAAGGCGCAAGGCGCGGTCCTCGGATCCTCGCGGCGCCTGCGGACGGATTCCGCTGTCTCTCTCGCACCCTCACGGCCCGCATGGGGCGCCCCGTGAGCGCGAGAGAGACGGCCCGGCGAGAGCACGGTTCGGAAGGGCTCTGTGGCTCGCGGATCGGCGGGGTGGCGGGCAGGCTGGGCCAGTGGGTGCGGTGGGTCAGGAATCCGGAAGAGAGAGGGGGGGGAGGCCTTCCCTCCGCGGGGCTCGGGCAGCGCCTTATAGACCGCACACACGCACCACCTTGATCAAGAACCAGGCAACGCTGTGGCAATGCCGGGGAAAGGAGCCTACACTGGGTCACGTGTCCTAATAACATTGTTTCGCATCGAGGGCCGCGACCACGACGTCGTCCACCGGGAGCCCCGCCAGTCAGTCCGCTGTGGCCGATTGCAGTGTACTAGTGGCAGCAGGCCTCGCGGAGACAAGCTGTATGGGGTGTCGCCGCGGAACACACTGACAGCGAGTCAAAATAATGGACACTTCTAATGAAGCGCTAACCGAACTGCCAACAAAGCCCTGCCTGCCACTACACTGCATAAACCAAGCACGGGGCATTGAGCCGCCCTGCACTGCTCCGCACTCGCGATGCCCCACCCGATAGCCTGGCCTCTGGGCCGCGGGCCCCGCACCGCTCGCACGCGGCTCACCGATCACTCCAGCGGGCAGCGCGCCATCACCACCATCACTCCGTCCCTCTCGCACCGCCACGGGCCCGCCGCGAGTGCGAGAGAGACTGTTCGGAAACAGGCTGCTGGCCCTGCTGGCCCCGGGCTGGTGTAATAATCGCCTGGCCGATACGATTCAAATAGGAAAACGCTGCGATCGCATCGCACTGGCCGAACCGGCCATCGATCGCCGAGGCGACGAGGCACCGCGAGGATGGCCCGCGTGGGGTGCGGGCTGCCTCGGGGCTGACGGACTCCCCTCCACTGTAATTCGAGTCCGCGGCGCGGCGGCACTGCTAATCACACACCGGGCCGACGCAGCCGTCGTGGCCGACGCAGCCGACGCAGCCCGAGGAAGGCGAGCCGCGTCCGCCTACACTGGCAGCCGCCTCGCTGGGCTTGGCCTGGATTTTTCTCTTGGCCACAGTGCCGATGAGGACGCTGAGACGGCGAACGAGGACGGCGACGACGAGGACGGCAACGACGAGGACGGCGAGGACAGCGACGATGGCCAGGACGGCGACAGTGTCGCTGTCGCGTCGTTTGTGATAAAAGATTAGAAGCGAGGCTGATGGCGCAGCTTGGCAGTGGCGGCGGGGCTCCGATTCCCGAATTAGCTAATGATCAAAGAATGGCCGTGCGAGAGGGGGACGGCGACGGACGGGCACGGACGGGGTCGCCGAGAGGGGGAGCGAGAGAGATCGTGATTAAAGGACCGCCGTCCGGACAGGTGCAGGGGAGCGAGACATCGCCACACAAAGGAGGAGCAGGGCCGCTACGACGACGCGCCATCGAGAAAACATGCCGCAGTGTCGTGGAGGAGGTCAGCTGCAAGATGGAGTATTCCTACTCCACGCACAGGGATCTTCTTGACAGCAAAATGCTCTTGGCAGGAAGATGCTTTTGGTTGACGCCGATCGTGCAGTCTGCCATGACGCCTGGCTACGCCTGGCGGTTAGGCAGCGAGGCCGATCGGCAGCCTGATTCAGCGCGAGCCAGTCCTGTTTGCGTTGACGGGCGCGCTTTGTCCCGCAGCCCGCTGCCGTGTGTCGCATGAACGGAGGCAAGCTCGGCGCGGAAGTAAGCAAAGCACGGCACGGCACGGGCGGCACGGCCAAGCACGGGCCGCGGACCCCAATAAAAGGCTAAGCAGTGCGCCCCGCCGGGCCGCGCCGCTCGCGGCCGTGGTGTTTTGTTTACGCCTTCGTAAAATAAAACCGAAGGGGCAGCGCCGGGTTCATAGTTTCGCCAAACGGTCGGGTTTCCCTGCTGACGAAATAATAAACGGGCGGGGCCGCGTCCGAATAAGTTTCAACGAAACAAACGACTTTCGCGAGTTGACTGATAAGCCAGCGCCGGATCGGCTGTCGCGACTCCGGCACGAATGAACGTAGTACGCATTACGAGCTTCCGGGGGGAGGGGAGCCAAGGCCTCCCGGGGCGCTATAGTCGGCTGCTAGTGTGCGGGGAAAGTGGGTGAAAAGGACGGATTAGGCCGGGTCGGGGCTGGGGCGGGGCGGGCGGGGCGGGACGGGGGTGCAACGCCGCGGCCGCGTTCCCGCACATTCCTCCACACCATTTTCCCTGTAGGGCTTCATTTTTAAAACATCCCATGACCGATCGAAAAATCGACGCGACGCACTTTTCCACGACTCCCTGAAAATGCGGCCGGTTTGGCGGCTCCGAAGGTGCTCGTTGTAGTGAGTTCTCACGCCGTTTCCGCGGCGCTCTGACGGACACTTCGTTACAGCGGCGCGCCCGAGCAGAGCGCCCCTCTCGAGGCGGCCGAGCGCGCGGGCCGGCCGAGGGAGTACACTACACTCGGCGAAAATGATTTGCAACGAGAACGAGGCAGCGAGGGTCGCGGGGCGATTATGCGCTCGGTTTCGGTGGAGGCTGGAGCCTCTCCGGATCCACTCGCACCAAAAGGGGGGGGGGGATGTTATACGAGGGGACCCTTGGCCTTATCGGGGGGCGGGGGTTGTTTCAAACAATGACGGGGGCGCCACTGCTAAATATGGATAACATTTTTAGCAAGTGTGCCGGGAGGTGCAGCAGGTTTCTTGTTTAGCAATTCATCATCCCCCCCTCCCACGGTCGCCCCTGGCGCCGGGGGGCTGCGGCTTAATCTTGGCAAAGGGTATGCGCGATAGCGGCAGTCCCGGGCCGGCCTCCACAGTGCCACGCCACACTCGATCGGGGCAGCGGAAGGAAAACCAGCAAAGGAGGATTAAAAGCTCAAGGTGACGGACGCGGCGGTGGGCTCGGCCGGCTAGGCGCGGGCCGATGCAGCGCGAACACGCCGATAATCACAAGGAGGGGGAGGGGGGGGGCGATCGGTCGGAAGCCATCGATCTAATTTTGCCACTTTCGGCAGCGAAGTGCTTCCGCGACGCGGTGTGGGTGTCACCAGTGCACCAGTGCCACCCTTCCAGAGCGAGCGTCGCGGCGCCATTCTTCCCTTCTCTCGTCCGCTCCCCTGTCGAGGCGCACGGGAAGAATGCCGCCCCGTTCCTCTTTGCTCGGACAAATTAGATATTCATCAGCGCAAATATTCGTTTTCGTATTGCGGCTTATGTGCCGAAACGGCGAAACGAATTACTATTTCCGGGCGGCGCGGCGCGGCGAGTGGAATCCCTACCCACTCCACTGGCGCCCAACTGGCCTTTCAGGCTTTCGACAAAGCAATACCGCGCAACCCACCGCCACGTCCACTCAAGTTCGCTCTGCCTCTCTCGCGCCCTTGCGGAACGCCCCCATGAGTGCGAGCGAGAGAGCGGGCGCCGCGAGTCAGCCCACTGCTGTCCAAATAATTTATCCTCGTCTTGCGGCCTTTTGGTCGGCAACGAAAATAGGCCCGCCAGTGGGCCTTGCCGGCTACACTGCCAGACCGGCCGCCGGCCGGCCGCAGGTCACCACCACCCACCCCTCGCGGAACCGCGTCTTGCAGGCCGCGAGCCGCACGAGGCCACATTGATGCCGAGCTCTGTCTCTCTCGCACTCGTGTGGCGTACCGCAAGGGTGCGAGAGAGACAGAGCCTGAAGGAGTGGCACGCCCAGTGACAGCCATGCAGGACGCCGAGGCGCGCATGTGTGAGTGAGTGTGAGTGCGGGGGCGGTTCATTTTGGTTGAATGCAACGAGCGAGTTGTGACGCAATGGCCCGAAAGCAGTGTGACCTAGATGTCACCTCAACAACCCAAACCCTCTCCACCCGCTGGCACCTCGAAGCGCCTCGAAGCGCTGGCGGTAAGCAGGGCCGGAATGATGATAGCAACGGCACGATCAACAATTGCCGCAAAGGGTCTCTCTGGGCATCGCTCTGTGCGCGGTGTGGGTGGTGGTGTGCCGTGCCGGCCGTGCCGGCCGCGCCGCGGTGGGTGGCCTGGATTGCCTTCAAAACGCAGCCACGCCGCGCCGTGCGATTTCATTGATCACACACATGCCTATACAGGAAAGGGGAGGGGGGCAAGCGTGCGACTTGGAAAAAATTTTCCACACTGCACGTGTCTATCATAGACGCGTCACTGTTGAAACGACGAGCGCGTGACTTTTTTTCCATCCCCACCTTTTTGCCGGTAATTGGCACGTTCGGTTCGAGGCGGCCATTTTGAAAACGTTGGTGGGGTGAAAGGCCGTGGCAGGTGAATGCCGGAGGGAGGGGGAGGGGGATCAAGACAGAGAAAAGGCGAGATGAAGCAGGAAGTGGCAGATTCGGCACGTCACCAATCGCTCGAACGTGCCTGCCTTCCCTCAAGCCGCCGCCCCCGCCGCCCCCGCCGCCCGCCTCCGGCTTTTGCAGTAGCGGGACTCGCGAATGGCTGTCCCATCCCTCTGCGTGGCAGCCAGCCCAGCCAGTGGACTGACTCCGAACGCCGGCGTTCCGTTTCCCTCGCACTCACGGGGCCGCCTCGCCTACAAGGCACTGCGAGGCCGTAGGGGTGCGAGCGAGACAGGGCGGACGGATGGAACAGTGTTCGCATGCTGGGCCGCCGACGGCCGCCGAGCCGAGGCCTGCCTTGGCCTGCCCGCTTTGATACCAAAACGCTAGACGACCAAATACGTGGAATCAGCAGGGCGGA